CGGGGGGGGGGGGGGCGCATTGGAGGAGTGGCAAGTTTTGGTTTCGAAAAATTTGAATGATTGAGACATAGATGAATATGGAAAATAGCGATGCAAAGATATTTGACTTTGTTTCGTTGGATGGTAACAATGATAATCCTTGGTGAAGCCTCACTAAGAATGGGTCTTTCACGGTCAAGTTTTTCTACAAGCAGTTGTTCAAGTATGATGGTAATGATGTTGGACCTCCAGACAAAAAAAAAATTGGAAGGTAAGAGTTCCTCCTCATGTATCGTCTTTTGTCTTAGAGATTAGCAGGGAATGTATCTTAACAATTGACAAACTAAGGAGAAGGGGCAAGATTTTGGTGAATTCTTGTTACTTTTGCAAGAGGGTAAAGGAGAACTGTAACCATGTATTGCTGTGGTGTTAGGAGGTGTGCACATTGTGGACTCTGGTTTATGTGCTGTTAGACATCAGTTGGGTGATGACAGGATCGGTGAGAGATGAGACCCAGGCATGGAGGGGTGTCAGGGGAAGGAGTAAACAAGCAGACTTAGTGCTACTCATAATCTTTTCGGCAGTATAGAAGAAAAGGAACAAAAGAGCTTTTGATTGGGTGGATGAGGTGAATGAGTTTGATTTTTTTTTTTTTTTATTAAAGAGCATATGGTTCTAAACCCTTAGTTTTTTTATTATTAGAGCATTCTCCATAGTAGATGAAGGATTTAGGAGACTGAATTGATAAGTTGATAGATATATAAATTTTTTTGTACATAGGTTAGCATTCCCTTGGCGTTCATTATTTTTTTAAAAAAAATTTAAAATTCAATTTTGTGTAAAATGAGTGAAAATAAGTATGAATGAGATAAAAATTCAAAATTAGTTTTCTAATAGTAAATTGTTTTTATTTCCAACCCAGTTGGGTGTTTTTGTTACTTGTCATTCGATAAGCGAAAATATAAATACATTATTGTAATTGAAGATGTGAGTGGATTTGATTTAATTGCTTATCGAATATTTAAATTATAATTAAATTTTATATATTAAATAATTAATATATGAAAATTGAAGTAAAATAGAATAGATTTGAATGAAATGCAATGTTAGTATATTGCATGTTGTCAGGTGAAGGTTTCATTGTTACAGGCAAGCAAAAAATGTGAGAAAAGAAAGCTACATGTTCAGAATCATGGTTTATCACTTACTTTTGGAGATGTCAGAGGAAACAATGTGAGTAATTGTGGTTCAGTGTATCCTGGTCTAGTTCGTGGTGATGGGTGCAAATAAAATCGCCTCTCTTTAATGGCTCTCTCTTCTTCTTCACTGTTCAGTTCACTTACTGCTGATTCTTTGATTTCCTCTTCGAATATAGACAACTTTGAGAAAATTGTAGATGGGGTGCCTACCGGACTTGTTAGAAATCCAGTATTCCCAGGTTTTGATGGGGATGTACCGGGTCTAAAGCTTATGGAAGGTTTAACAATCTCAAGCTTGGGCCTCATCAACTGTCTTCTTTCATGGAGCTTAGAAGTTGGTTTCTTGGGAAGTGCAATCTTCATAGCTGCTCCTTCTTGTAATAAGCTACTCTCTGATGGACCTGTTAAACGCTGCACTACTTCTCTGAAAGTGTCAGTGTCTGTTTGCACAAATGTTGTCAAGGGTCTACAACTTGTTGCACCTTGGGTTGCAGACTTCTCCATAGATCTTCGCTCATTCGCAGGCTTTTGATGCACTCACCCTGCAACAGACAAGAGGTATTTTGTGTTTAGAAAACTTGTAACTTATTGTCATTCTTGGTTGTGTTGGATCATTGAAAACTTGCTATTGCTTAAAATTTGAATTATGCTTTGCATAAGTCTGGTAATTACTTTATTTTAAAAAAAAGAGAGTGGCAATTACTTGCTGATTGACTTATTCTTAATGCTGGTGATGATGTCATGCAAGATGCACACCATGGATGATGAAAATGTTGTGTGAAACTCCCAAATGCTTAAATTGATAAGAAAAGCCAACTTCAATTTTTGGAAAACGAACTTAAGTAGAATAACCAAATATTTAGTAAGTTTTTACTATTTAATTTTGATATCTAAAATAAAAGAGTACCTTTTTTGTAACATCACCGTGGTAACTAACATACATGTCAATGGGTACATACAGGTTGGCTCCTTGCTAATTTTGAGAAAAATGCCAACTGGATTCTCTCTTCACCAATCTGGACTCAGTAATTTTGGCATGTTCATATAGAACTGATATCCAATTCAAGTTGTAAAACTGAATAAACTGTATTGAGTTATGAAAGAAGTGCCGAAAATTGTTTGTAGATAGAATCGAATTGCAAATGAATCTTATAAAGAAACGTCAAAACTTTGAAACTCTATGAGCCAATGGATCTTATCAAGAAAAAAAAAAAAAACCGAAAAGAGTTGCAAGCGAAAAGCAAATATATCTGCTGACAGGAATGAAATAATGAGTTGCATTGGATTAGAATTTTCTTGGCTACAAAAAAATGACAATGAGATTATATTTCCTAAATTTTGAGTTGTGAGAATGTTTTGAGTGGCCAAATACAGGAACTGGGTATGGAGAATCAAATTCATACAAAGTGAAAACTGAAAGAAATTAAAGAAGAAGATTAGACATACCTGGAGAGAGATTGAGTGGTAATTAAAAGGTTGAAGAAGAAGAGAGGCAGAAGGAATTAATAGAGAGAGAAGAAAGAAGAGTTGGGTGTGTAATAATAATAACACAACTAAAATGAAGCTGAAGGTTGTCTGGACCAGTTAGGACAAAACAAAGCTAACCTCATAAACAAGGCATTTGCAGCCCGTTAGTTTTGGCCACATATATACAAACACACACACATATATATATATATATATATATATATATATATGTACACAAACACACACATATATATCCATATCATTTCAATGTGTATATATATATATATATATGTATGTCCTTTTTGCTAGCTAACTA